GTGCCATGCATGTCATCCATGTGAAAATCTCGATCTGACGAGGCTGTTTAAGAACATTGCTAATTCACCATCATTTTACCATAAACGTTTAAAAGGACAGAACACCTTTTAGCCGATCTATAAGCTGATTCTTCTGTATTTTATTTCTCCTTGTACGTATTTAAATTCCTGAACTGTTTTTTAAGTTTATTCCAGTTGTTAATGACTGTCTGAGATGAGAAAGAAAAACGGCCATCTTTCATTTTATAATTTTTGACTAATGTTTTAATATGTCTTCTCAAGATCTACTACTGGCTGTAAGTTGGAAAAATTGTCTGTAATCAATATTTGTAAAATCTATTCGAGATTATGAATGATGCAATCAAATCACTTCGGTTTCTTCTAGGGATAAGATGTTACCAAATTCAGTCTATAATGGAAAGAATACTTAAAAAAAACAGCAATCATTATAGAGCCTCAACGCTAAACAGCGACAATTTTTAATAAGCTTTTTTTGATAAGCTCGGGAGGATAAGCTTGGTCGCCATATTGTAAAAGAGGTTTTACAAATGATTTATACAGTATCATAATATTTTCTGTTGATTAAACAAGTACAACCAGAGTACGAATTAAAATACACTTTCCAGACATGAAGCACACCAGAAGTTCCAGAAAAAGGGACATTTATTCCATAAATGAAGTTACTGACATAAAATAATATTAAAGTCTTTTTGAGAATCAATGAGATGTATCTTAATTAAAAACTATATTTATATCAAACATCTGAATATTAGATTTGGTTGCCACAATATACCATAGTTTCGAGCAAGATTCAGCTGATTTAGTAAGCTGTCTTGAGCATGCAATTTAGATTGCACGTTATAAAATAGACGTAGAACTTGGAGTAATATTTTGATAGATAAAAAACGAACACTATTTTTGTAATCAATGATAGCGAGAAACAATTCTACAAACTATGGTCATTGAAAATTGTGCTGGTCTTTATAATAAAAAAAATAATTTCAGAATTGTATGAAGACCGAAGAAGATATCGGCTGAAATGTTATATAAAAAATAAGGGTGATGCATACGCTTGTTTGAATAACGTGGAATAATGAAAACAATTTGTTTCAGAAATTCAGTCAATACAGGAAGACTGACGAATCTATCGTCCGAAACCTTTGTGCTAAAAGCAACGAAAATAGTCATACAACAGTCTAAAAGCGAAACGAAATATATCAGTTTTAAATTTGCACTTTTTTTTTTCATAAGTATATAGTAATGATCTAATCCTGTAAATATAGTTTGTACGACATATTGATCACGTGCATGTGATGTGCAGAGATCAGATGGATGGAGTGTTATTTAGAAAAGTGAATTAACGTTTTAAGAACGCCCTTTGTAAACAAGAATATTGTTCCAAACCAGATTAAGCAGAGTTAGACAGGATTAAGAATGGAGATAAAAAACAACAGCAACAACAATAACAAAAGAAGGAAAAATGCTAAAGAATAAGGGGGGGGGAAGAATGTTTTTCATGTTATTGTGTATAAGAGTGGGTAAGTAAGAGAAGGATAGATGAAAAGAGGAAATTAGAGAAAAGGAGAAAATGAGAGAGCGTCAGAAAGAGAGAGAGAGGGGGGAGAGAGAGAAAGAGAGAAAGAGAGAAAGAGAGAGAAAGAGAGAGAGAAAGAGAGAGAGAGAGAAAGAGAGAGAGAGAAAGAGAGAGAGAGAAAGAGAGAGAGCAGGCTAAGACAAAAAGAGAAAGTGATTTTCAAAATGGGAAAAAAGAGAAAGAAAAAATATTAGAATAGTATATATATATATTTACAAAGATGTTCACACTGTTTAAGGCCCAAGTGCCACTCGAGGTAGAGGGCTACAGAGTAAGAGACACCACCCCAAGCAAGGTGACTATACCACCGAGACGGGAGTGAAAGTGAAGGAAAAAACTCAACCGGAAACTCAACCCTAAACAAGGGATAAACCTCTACTCCTGTTCACAAGACCGGGGAGGGGCGTGTACTAGACGATAGGCAAATCTACTCCTATTAAGGAAAAATGTAAATAAATACTAATTAAAATTTCGGAGTTTTAGGCGAAAACGTTAAAAGTATAGAGTTGATGTAGACCTGAGAAGGACCCGGAAATCCAACTCTAAACAGGAAACAATGAATAACCTTTAATCTCACTCTCTATCTTTATATATCTATATTAGATACCTCCACTAATTCGCTATACGTAAGGTTTAAAATGAATTTTTTAAAAATGAAAAAGCTTGCTTGAAACTTTTATTTTACTTTTAATTGAAAGCTAGAGGATTTAAAATTTACTATTTCCTGTAAGCAAAATGCTCTGTAGTGTATTTCAAACAGAAATTATATTGATCGGAATCGATTTTTGTTTAAGTAAAATCGATAAAGAATCATTTTTCGTCGAAATTTTTTTTTTCAGACAATATTGTCTTTAAAATATATTATCCATTAAAGCAATTAAAAGCTTCTCTAATTAGATAATATCTCAGTTTTATTTTTCGATTCGGGAACAGATTCTCGGTAAAACGGGATTCGATTTTGAATAAAAAAAAGCGGTGAAATTAATTTAAATTCTTCAATGAATTCTGCTTTTAACTAATATAGTCACAAAAAATTATCACGTTGAATTTTTCAAGTTTTCATAAAATTAAGTAAAGGGGTTGAAACACATGCAAAAAAATATTTTGCCGAGATTTTTTAACAAAAAATAAGTTAAAAAATATCTCATTCATTTGTGAACAAATCCTGAAAATTTAATTAAAATTCGACAATTTTTTGATTTTTGCAAGAATTTCCAAATTAATGTGCTAAATTAATGTGCCCGTCACTGCAAAAAAAAGAGGCCAAAATTTGCTATGCTAAAAGTTAGTACAATCGCTGACGCAAGAAAAACAAAATTTTTAATCAAAATTTTGAATGTTTTAAAAAGGAATAAAAATTTAATTAAGGTAATCAAAAATACTTTGACTATTTCTCTTAATAACAACAAATATTTTGACGACAAAACTATGTTTTTATTACGCTTAGAGCATGTTTTCATCACGGTATGCTGTTTTTTTCGTGGAGGCATCTAATCTATATATACAAGGTGCGATGGGTAAATTGTCTGTAAATTGATCTGTAAATTGATCTGTAAATTTCCACGCTTTGATGTTAAAGATAGTGGAGTTATTCCGCGCTGTTTTCTCCGCGGCCTGGAATTCATATTTTCCTTGTCTTAAGCCAGTTGTTAGTCAAGGAGAGAAAGTCCAGTCTACTATGATATTTAAGCTTCAGTTTAGGAGAAGAAAAGATGGATTGTCGCCCCTTTTAAAAAGCAAATTAGTGTGAAAACAGACTAGCCTGCGACCAGAACTCGGCTCTGGAAAAAAGTAGGTATACACTAATGAAAAATAAAAGTTACGCATAAAACGCATTAAATTGGTTATAGAACCATATCAATAACAAAACATATCAATAATAAACATATTAATCTCTCAAATGTTCAAAATATTTGCCCCCGCCACTAAAACACTTCTCTTTAAATTCAAAAGTACTACGAAATATAAAAAGTATAAAAATGTACCCAAACTGTACACAGACTAAGTTCGTAACATTGAAACAATTAAAAAGTCATTTGTTTTTTTATGAATCTAAATGAACTTGCTATGTTAAATTGAGGTGTGTGCGGCAATGCAATGAAGAAGATATATAACGTCTGCCTTTGGTCTAAGTGGACAGAGTAGCAAAGGACTACGATGCCTGCAAAATATTTATTATTATTATTATTAATATTTATTAAAAAATAAAAATTATAATAAATGTATTAAAAATTTAGGAAAATAAAAATATTAAAAAAAAATTTTAGCGAATCAAATGAATTTTAGTCTTAAATAAATACTAGAACCGTTTTTCTGGTGATACTGGCAGAATACTTACTGTATACCTACTTTTACATACACATGTGTGGATAAAGCAACGGTGATTGTCTAGGAAAGAGGAATTTGCGAGAGGAGTTCAAATTCAGGTCGATTCTATTTCATTCAGCTTTTGTACTTATAGCCTTAGAAAAGGCATCAATTCATCTTCCGAATAATGGGTTAAATATCAAACTAAGAGAAGGAAAACTGAATATAAACCTGATTAGGTCTGTTTGGAGATTTAGTGGCATTTTGATACAAAAAGTTTTTCTAAAAAGTGTGGCTGGTTCGATGAAAATCAAACATCTGTGTGAGCAGTCTAGCTCTTAATGAAACAGTTGGGCCGCCATTCGTCGAAATCGGAGATAGAGAGAGAGAGAGAGAGAGAGAGAGAGAGAGAGAGAGAGAGGGGGGGAGTGTGAGAGAAATAGATAGTGACTACGAAGACAACATGAAAAGAGAGACGTGAGGCAGCTGAAGCAGGAAAAGACAGTAAGAAAGAGAGAGAGAGAGAGAGAGAGAGAGAGAGAGAGAATGAGTGAGAGAAAGAAGACGAAATAAAGAAATAACGACTAAGAAGGAAAAGCAAGAATATGACTGTGAAAGAAAAGAAGCAAGAGATAGAGATAGATAGATAGAGAGGGAGGGAGGAAGGTTGATTCATTTTTTTACGGTTTATCAACCCTTTTCAGCTTATTCAAAGTCAGAAAATATTTTTCTAAGAATTTTTTAGTCATGATTTAGTGATAAAAGTCTTACTAATTAACCCATAGGAGGGGGAAGAGGTGGATTCATGCCTTTCACAAGGTTATTTGCACGTAAATGAGTATAACGAACTCCACTGAGATTGGAACTCGGCTCTCCAATTAAAACTTCTGAGCCATTATCCATTACACCACCCGCACATCCAAGCTTACAGTACCTGGTGTTCACAAGCGGTCACTCATCTCGGTACTGACCAAGCTCGACATTGTCTTAACTTCGGTGATCGTATGGGTAGACTACTTAGCATATTACCCTCACATACAATAGCTTCCAACGTATTTATGAGGATTGAGACATAGCCATTAGTGTTCATAGGTACCGTTTATAACAATAAGAAAGAGAAAAAGGACAAAGCAACAGTGTAGGAAGAAGAGAGAAAGAAATAAAATAACAGAAAGAAATAGCGAGAAGAAGAGAGTGGAAAGAGGAGAGAAAGATATAAAGAAGGTATAAGAATAAGAGAAAGAACAGATGATAGGAAAACAGAGAGGGAAATGAATAGGATGAGAGAAAGAAAGAGGTTGAAACGCGAAAGAAAAGAAAGAGAATGAGAGAGAAGGGGGAGAAGAACATTCAGAATAAAAGAGTAAGAACAAAGAGAGAGAGAGAGAGAGAGAGAGAGAGAGGGGAGAGAGAGAGAGGGGAGAGAGTGAGAGAAGGGGTAAGGAGGGAAAGAGAGAGAGAGAGAAGAGTGAGGAATATTTAAGAGAGAAAAACAGACTGAGGAAGAAATCTCCGAGGAAAGAAAAAAGAGAAAATAAATTGGTTTCTTGTATATCAACATCTATGGGTTATTTAATACCGAAATGTAAATATTTTGTACGCAATTTTATTTTATTTTTTTTTGGGAGATAATAATGGTTTTAGTGATACAAGTTTTACTAATTAACCCATAGCTGGGAGGAGAAGATGTGGATTCATACCTTTTCCCAAGAGTATTTTGGCGTAAGTGAGTATAATGGGCCCAAATGGAATTTGAACTCGGGTCTCCGATTAACAATTACGATCGATTATTCATTACACCACCAGTACATGTAGGCAGTGACCAGATTTGACGTTGCTTAACTTCAGCGATCGTACGGGAACTGGTATTTTAATGTAATGTGGCCCTAAGTCAGAGAAAAATGACAGTGATATATATATATATATATATATATATATATATATATATATATATAGAGAGAGAGAGAGAGAGAGAGAGAGAGAGACAGACAGACAGACAGAGAGAGAGAGAGAGAGAGGGGGAGAGACAGACAGATACAGGAGAGAGAGACACACACTCAGAGAGAGAGAGAGAGACAGAGAGAGAGAAAGTCAGAGAGAGACAGAGAGAGAGAGTGAATGAGTGAGTGGGAGAGAATCAACCTGAACGACAAATACTTGACAAGTAATTCTTTAGTGCACTCACTCAATGACGGTCACCTTTGAAAAGTGACAAAAGTTGACGTGTAATCCAATTATATTGAGACAGTTTTATTGAATAAAGTTTAGCAAAGAAGCTTTCACGTACAATCAAAAAAATCTCGGCTTTTTCAAAATATTTTTTCTCTTCGTAGCGAATGCTGGACAATCTCCACATCGTAAACGACTTGAAACAACAGACATGTGGTTCTACAGAAGGATGCTGAGAATACCATGGTCCGAACAGGTCTGCAAAGACGAAGTTTTAGAGAAAATGGAAACAAAAATGGCCCTTATACTTAACATCCGTAAGAGACAGTTGATATATAATGTGGAAAGAGGGCTTTGAAAATTTGATACTCACAGACCAAATCGAAGGCAAGAGACACAGAGGAAAACAAGGGATAACCTACCCAGTGAATTAGAGTAAATAGATGACGGAAAAAGATTTATAAAAGTGGACACTGAGGTCAACACCAGGTAGCAACTGTCTGTTTCATGCTTTAAAGCAATCTTCAGGTCATGTGTATTATATTTTGGCTCGACTATTTATACATACTGGTCAGTGGTGCATTATGGGTAGTAAGGTCTATCTTGACGGTAATTATTCTAGAGGCTAAAGAATGGAAATAATTGTGGTGCCGAATGTGGTTATTTGTAGCTGTTTTATAATGTTGTTTAACTTTTTACTCATTATGCATACATATATCTGTCTGTCTTTATCTCTCTCTCTCTCTCTCTCTCTCTCTCTATATATATATATATATATATATATATATATATATTACTTATATAATAGAGAAATTCAAAATTACCTCATGAGAATAGCTATTTCAACTAACATTAAAACGTTAGCATTTTTCGACTCAAATAGTGTGTAGATAGAATGCCAGAAACTTAAAAATTAAACATTTTAAATAAAGGAAAGGAAAAGAAAAAGGGAAAAAAGAAAATAAAGAAGCAACCTGATATTGATTTACTCAAACAACACCAGTATAGTGGAAGTGGGAGGCGGATATTGTATGGCTTAAATGGAAAAGGTTAATACAACCTTGATCTGGATTTATAATTCTAACGCTCTAAGTAGGGGTTATGAAAAAAGTTCAAAGGAAAATTAAAGGCAGGAAAATTTAATATTGGCAGAAAAAATTTAAAACCAAGTTAAAAAAAAAAGAAGCCAAACAATTTAAAAAAAGGAAATAATAAATTATTAGTTATGAAACAAAAACAAAAAATATTTTTCCTTTTAAAAATTACCAAAAAGATGCAAGCAAATAATGTAAGATTAACAATAAAACCTAATTAGACAGTTTATATTAAGAAAAAATAATAACATAAAAATATTTTAAGAAAATTTAAAATTTATAAACTTTAAAATTTTTAAAAAATTTATATGTTTCGTTATAATAAATACATTGAGCTCTTTTTATAGATCAGTTTTAATATTTTATATAATTAGAATACACTTAGATTATATATCAACGGATTATCACCTATAGTATATATATATATAAAATATATATATATATATATATATATATATATATTGAACAATAAAAAATTTAAAAAAATAATAAATTAAAATCTTCAGACACACTGGGTTGTATATTAATATTTTTTGTTTTAATTATTATTTCATTTAGATTTCTCGACTAGTTTCGACCAACATGACCAACATCAGGAGAAAAAAATATTTAAATTTAAAATTTTACATATATATATATATATATATATATATATATATATAATATGGAAATGTATGACAAAGTTGAAAAACGTTTTGTGTGAGGTGTTTCATCCTTTAGGACTTCATCAGACTAGAATTATGTTTACTTTGATGCGACTCCATATGCGAATGAAGAAGAGGGCCACTGAAAAAATATTTTTAGCATATAGTCTAGCTGATTTTATTTGCGCAGGATAATGTCTAACAATTCATTATTCCAAAATAGACAGCTGCCAAAATGCCGTGAGAATGGCAAACAACAAAGATGAGGAAATTAGTTCGACTAAAACAAAAGTTGTATTCCTCAAGATCTTCAAACATGAAACACCCTAAACCGGAAAATGATCCCATATCAGACCCCCGTCCTTATTTTAAAATCGAAGGCAGACAATCAAGATGGTATATTTCATTCAATATAGAAAGATAGAAGCTGCCTATTTGGATGTTTTTCTTTAAGGGACTCATACTAGTAGCCAGGCTAAAGGTAGGTACCCCTCTAGAATGTGCCTCCCACATTGCACTTAAATTGAAGGATCAGAATCAGCACCTGATGCTCAAGCCATCCCCCAAAATGTAAGTTCTGAGGGAAATTGACATTTTCTTTTATCACTCTAAGTTTTGGGCTTTAAGTTAAGTATAGCTTTGTAACTTAGCATCAAGTATTATCAAAAATTTATTGTTTCGTATAAAGTACAAGTCCCTTTTTAGTGGTTTAAATTTTATTAAAAAAATTGTGCATTATCAGTAAAGAGAATTTAGAATGCTAAAGTACGCAATCCTTACTTTTTATAATCCTTTCACCTGGAGTCAAGGCGAGAATGGCATTAGTACGAAGCGGGTTACAGTCAATGAAACTGAAAGAGAAGACTGAGAATAGGGAAGATTGAGGAAAGGAAAAAAAAAGATGAATGGAATTCAAGAAGACAGAAGATGGCGATTGACTTTGCATTTACATTTTTGAAAATAGTAATTATCAGGGAAGCAAGAAATCGGAAGTCAGTTCCACAGATGGGAAGTGGGAGAAAAGAAACTGTTGGAGTAGACGTGGTGATTACATTTATTTATTTTAACAGTTTGGAAGACTGGCGCAACAAAGTCTTCATATCACCATTATATTTCGATCTTGAGCATTAATAAGTTAACCTTAGTAATATCAGTAAAAAGCCGGGTGTTGTGACTTTCAAAGCGAGGAGACTATTATTACTTTGCACAGTCTTCCTGTTACCTGTTTCTGTAAGCTTGTACTGTACTAAGTGAAGCTTTGTAAATATTAATTAACAAACAGTATTCAACATTCTGACTTTGAAGAGAACACCTGTTGGTAGAATAGCAAAACCCAATCTTTTTGCTATCAGTTTCCTTAATTTTGTACGGATCTGTACGGGTTATTTAATGCTGACAAAAATTTTTTTTATTGCTGGTAATAGTTTGTTTTGTCAAAAGACTGTTTCTGGTAATATATTTCCTTCAAAATTGTATTGCTGGTAATAATTTTTTCAAAAACGTATTGCTGGTAATAGTTAACTATTTGTCCATAGCTGGGGCCCTAACAGGTGCTACCATCCCGGGTTAGGGTGGACCTGGGAACACCAGCAATTAAGAGGTGGTTCCATGCTTCTCAAAACCTCCTGATCAGAGGCCTTGCTGCTGGACGTAGTTTATCGTCTTACCCAGGATGCGGATGTAGTTTAACGTCTTACACAGGACGCGGATGTAGTTTACCGTCTTACCCAGGACGCGATTTTCAAGAGGGGTAGAGGCTGATTTTTTAGAAAAATGGTGCAACTGATACATTTTCTTTGACGAACTGCGTTAAGCATTAATAAAACGTAATTATAAATTCTTATTTTTAAATCTTACATAAATATTCTATTTATAAAATGGGTGCATCACAATCTTCCTATCACCAGTACTTCCCTCTGACCTTGTGTTGATTGACTGATTGCGTTTGACGGTCACTCAAGATATTGTGGGTTTTTTAGAGCACTGAAGAGAAACCTTTTTCATGGCTACAGTATAGACTGTCCTTGTATATGGCTCCTTAACCTGAACACTAACAGGCAAACTGGAAAAGAGGTTAGATGATTCTTATGCACGAATGCTTCGAGCAACACTAAAGAAATCCTGGAAAGATCACCCAACAAATAAAGAGCTTTACCTCCCATCAGCAAATTAATAAGTCAACAAAGATTAAGATTTTGCTGCTTACTGTTGGCATAGCAAAGAAGAACTAGCTGGGGGCTTTCTACTCTCGATACCATCCCATGGGAAAAGATCACAAGGTCTCACAAAGGAAGGTCTACATTGACCATCTCTTTGAAGACACGAAATACAGACTGGATGAGCTTCCAAATGAAATGAACAACAGGAATCGATGGAAGCAGTGTGTCATGGAATTCCGAGCTTTGCTTGACCTGATGATGATGATGATGATGACGATGACAAGAGCCAAATTGATGCGTTGTAAATATATTTTATAGTTGGTTTGGTATGGTTTGTTTTGTTTTACGGCATCTCAACCTGAATGGGACATTTAATGCCGACAAGACTTTTATTGCTGGTAATATTTTTTTCAAAAATGTATTGCTGGTACTATTTTTTTCAAAAATGTATTGCTGGTACTAAACCCAATTTTTACACTTTCATAATATTTTGAC